TTATCTTGTGGGAGAATCTATCATTGGCAGTCATAGTTTAAAATTGTCAACCATTTAAGACAGATGAGATACTTTTTCTACAGAGGGTTGAGAGTCTTTGGAATTGCTTTCCTCACAAGGTAGTGGATACAGGGTAGTAGACACATTCTCGATTACCAAGGAGGTGACCAATTATTGGGGATATGCAGGAGTGAAGAACTGAGGTTAAATCAGATCAACCACGACCTTGTTGAATGGTGGAACAGGCTGGAAAGGCTGAGTGGCCTACTCTGTTCCTTGTTTGTATGTTCATATGTGTCTGACTGAGGAACTTGGCTTGAAAGAAAAACTCTCATCAGATTTCTGTACTTAACAAGAACATATTTATTGTGAACAGATTCTCTTCAAGTAAAGCATTCAGAAAATACTGATTGCTAACTTATAACTCTACAGCTTAAACTCTACCCCTTCTTGAACCTTCCTTCACAAACAGGCAAGCACACAAAGACGGTCAAGACAAGATATTGTGATATTGTTTCTCGAGGGGAGGAAGGGATAAACCAGGAAACCTCTAGAGAATCAGTTCTGAGCGACAAAATGAATCTGCATTTGGAGAGGCAGGGATTAATCAAAAACAGTCAGCATGGTTTTGTTAAGGGGAGGAGATGTCTGACCAACATGATTGAATTTTTCGGTGAAGTGACCAGGCGTGTAATGCTTTTGATATCGTCTACTTGGACTTCAGTAAGATTTTTGATAAGGTCCCACATGGGAGACTTAGTGCAAAGGTAACTGCCGATGGGAACCAAGGAAACTTATCAAATTGGATCCACAATTGGCTGAGTGGCAGGAAACAGGGTGATGATTGAGGGTTATTTTACAGACTGGAAGTCTGTGCGCAGTGACTTCCCACAGGGGTCAGTATTGACACCCTTCCTGTTTGTGATTTATATAAATGATTTAGATTTGAAGGTAGGAGGGTTAATCACTAAGTTTGTAGACAATACAAAAATTGATAGGATAGAAATAGTGAGGAGGGTAGCCTTAGACTACAGGAGGATATAGACAGGCTGGTAGAATGGGCTGATTGGTGGCAAATGGAATTTAATCCGAATAGTGACGCACTTGGGAAGCACTGAGGATCAGAGGGATCTTGGTGTGTGTGTACACCAGTCCCTTAAGGTGGGGACAGGTGGATAAAGTGGTTAAGAATGCCTGCAGTATGCTCGGCATTATTAGTCGAGGCATAGTTTAAAAGTAGGGATATTACGCTCGAACTGTACAAAATATTTGTTGTGCCATGCAGCTAGTCTGGTACACTTCTGGAATCCACATTATAGGAAGATGTAACAGCACTGAAGAGGGTGCGAAAGAGATTTACCGGGATGTTTCCTGGACTGGAGAGTTTCAGTTATGAAGATATTGGACAAACTGCGTATGTTTTCCTTGGAGCAGAGGAAGCTGAGATGGTACGTGATTGAGATATATAAAATTATGAGGGGCATAGATAGGGTAGGCAGAAAGAAATCTCTCTCCTTGATGGAGGGATCAATGATCAGACAGTACAGATTTTAGGTAAGGGGCAGAAGGTTTACAGATGTGAGGAAAAGCTTTTTCAAACAGGGAGTGGTGGGAATCTGGAATTCTTTGCCTGTAAGGGTGATAGAGTGAAAAATCCTCAATATTTAAGAAGTATTTAGATGTGCACTTGTAATGCCAAGGCATACAACCTGTGGACCAAGTGCTGGAAAATGGAATTAGAATAGTTAGGTGGTTGTGTTTGACCAGAGTGAACACAATGGGCTCTGAAGGGTCTTTTTCTGTACTGTGGATCTCTATAAATCTATAACAGATTGGTAATTCATTTTTAATTGTGTCTGGAGCTGCTGCTTGTATGTTGGCCTGAGGTTACATGCAATAGAGAACAATTCTGCAGCAGCTGATGGCCCACAGCATTTGTTTTCAGCTGCTAAGTTTGTTCTGAATCTCTCTCGTTTAGTACAATGGTGTTGCAAAACACAATGTGAGGTCTCCTTAGTGTCAATTCAGGATTTTGCTTCCACACGCTGTGACCGTGCCTACCCCAAGTCAAGGAGAAACAGAAACAGAAATGTCTGGAAAAGCTCAGCAGCTCTGGCAGGATCCGTGGAGAGAAGTCCAAGTTAATGTTTCGGGTCCAGTGACACCACCACCACACCACCTCCCACCCCCCTCCACCTCAGAACTGGACCTAAAACATTAACTCTGATTTCACTCCAAAGATGCTGCCAGACCTGCTGAGCTTTTCCAGCAATTTCTGTTTTTGTTTCTGATTTCCAGCATCCGCAGTTGTTTCAGTTTTTAGCAGTCAAGGAGAATTCTTTTCATGGGATGTGGACTTTGCTGGCAAGGCTAGCATTTGTTACCCATTCCTGATTACCCTTGAACTGAGAGGCTTTGAGGATATTTCCCCGTGATACAGGACATTACAGAGTCAGAGCTTTGTATAACAGTGACAGTTTCAGCAATGAAACTAGCTTTCAAATCCACTATTTTATAAACTCCATTGTTTAACTTTTTAAATTTATTTATGGAATGTGAGCATCACTGGCATTGCCCATCCCAAGTTGCCCTTGAGAAGGTGGTGGTCACTTGACACCTTGAACTGCTGCAGTCCATTTGGCCTGAGTGTACCCAGGATGCCATTAGGGAATCCCAGGCTTTTGACCCAGTGACCCTGGAGGAATGGCGATATAGTTTAAAAATATGCTTTTGCCTCTAAGATGTTGGTGACACATTGGAGCTGTCTTCTCCAGAAAGCGGTGGAGATGGGGTCATTAAATATATTTTAAGGCAGTGGTGGATAGATGAACCAGAAAATCCAAGCTTATTGGGGTTAAGTGGGAATGTGGTTCAATGGTCATTAGACTGTCTTATAGTTCTTTTTTCTTTATTGAATTCAGACTTCACCATCTGCCATGATGGGATTTGAAACAGTGTCCCTAGAACTTTTGCCTAGGGCTTTGGATTACTAGGCCAGTGAGATTACCACTAGACCACAGCTTCTGTATTCTTCAAAGTAATTGAACAGATGATCTTTGGGATAATTTAGGGGAGGCCATGGCCTATTGGTATTATGGCTGGACTGTTAATCCAGAGACCCAGGAAATGTTCTGGGGACCTGGGTTCAAATCATGCCATTGTAGATGGTGGAATTTGAATTCAAGAATGAAAAACATCTGAAATTAAGCGTCTACTGATGACTGTAAATCCATTGTCGATTGTCAGAAAAAACCCATCTGGTTCACTAATGTCCTTTTAGGGAAGGAAATTGCCATCCTTACCTAGTCTGAACTATGTGACTCCAGACCCACAGAAAGGTGGTTGACTCTTAACTGCCCTCTGGGCAATTAGGAAAGAACAATAAATGTTAGCCTAGTCAGTGCCACCCTCATTCTGTGAATGAATTCAGAAAAATGAGAGCGACGTTGTGTTCAGTTTTTGAAATGAATGTCCTGCTCTCATTTATAGATTATAAAAGGCTGCAGTGATTTTTCTATTCAGTGTGTTTGCTGAGAGGTTAATATGGATCTGTAAAGATTCAGTCTAATTGAATGATGTGAGATTTCATTTCCTGTACATAGGGTAGAGTGAATGACAAGATCGAAGTGGGGATCACTGACTCAGGCAGCAGCTGATGGATCAAGAGAGATTAGCAACCAGCTCCTTAACTGGAACTTGCTCAATGCCCTTTGTGTATCTGTCACCTTGTCGTTCCAACCATTTCACCCTCCCTTCTCTACCGCTGTGTTCGAAAACCCCCTCACTCACGCTCTCTACACCCCACTGTGTCTGAACATCCCCATTCGTCCTCTTTACACACCAACTGTAGGTTCCCCTCATTCGTCCTTTCTATAACCACATTGTCTCTGACCCACCTAACTTGCACTCTCTATACCCCACTGTGTCTGAACCCACTTCACTCACCCCCTCTATACCCCACAGTGTCTGAACCCACTTCACTCACCCCCTCTATACCCCACAGTGTCCAATCCCCCTCACTCACTCTCTATACCCTACAGTGTCTAATCTCCCTCATTTGCCCCCTCTATACCCCACTGTGTCCCACCCCCTCACTCGTAGAGTCACTGAGTCATACAGCATGGAAACAGACCCTTTGGTCCAAATCATTCATGTTGACCAAGTTTCCCAAACTAAACTAGTTCTATTTGCCTGCATTGCGCTCTCTACAACCCACTGTGTTCACCCCTCTGATCCTCCTCTCTGCGCCAATCCCCCTCGCTCTCCCTTTCTTGAAGCCACCTAGTCTAATCCCTGCCTCATCCTGGGTGTTGGGCAGCCTTGTCCACTCTGTAAAGGGTTTTATTGTAGTGAAAAGTAAACATCAACTGACTTTATATAATTCATTCATTAACTGTGAATATGACGACTGGACCAGCATGCATTGCCCATCCCTGGTTGTCTTTGAGAATGTAATCGTGAGCTGCTGCCTTGAACCACTGTAGTCCTGGGTATAGATTGACCCACAATGCTTTTAGGGAGGGCATTCCATGATTTTTACCCAACGCAGTGAAGAAACGGTGATATATTTCCACATCAGGATGGCGAGTGGCTGGGAGGGGAACTTGCAGAGGGTAGTGTTCCCATGTGTCTGTTGCCCTTGTCCTCCTTGATTGAAGAGGTTGTAGGTTTGGAAGAAGTTGTCTAAGGATCTTTGGTGAATTTATGAAGTGCATCTTGTAGATAGTACCCAGTGCTGCTACTGAATGTCTGCTGTGGAGGGAGCAGATATTTGTGGCTGTGGTGCCAATCAAGTTGGCTGCTTTGTTCTGAATGGTGTCAAGCTTTTTATTTTGTTGGAGCTGCACCCATCCTGGCAAGTCTTCCATCACTCTCCAGACTTGTAGATGGTGGCTAGGCTGCTGTTATGCTGATGGACAGGGTTGTTATCTTTGAGGCTTTGCTCTGCCCCATGTCAGCGTGCCACCAGGTAACAGGATGGTTCTTTTCTCTGTTTTTAGAGACACTATGTGGAGGTTGTTCACAGGCTCCCTGACAGTCGAGGAGAAGTCCAGTGTCATCCTGCACGATGTGAAAGAGATCGAGTCTTGGATCTACAGGCTGCTACACTCCCCTGTGCCTGTGCCTGGCCAGAAGCGAGTGGATGTGGAGATATTGCCCCGAGATCTTCAGCCAGCACTTACCTTTGCTTTGCCAGACGTGGCCCGCTTCAGCTTGGTGGATTTTCCACTCCATCTGCCCTTGGAGCTGCTTGGCGTGGAGCCCTGTCTCCAGGTGCTCAGCTGTATCCTGCTGGAACATAAGGTGAGGCACAGCACCACTTGCTCAACAGCTCGCCTGTACAACAACAGGGCTGGGACTTCACCCTGAACTGTGACTGGAGCTGTGACCTATAGCACAACTTTATACCGAACTGCTACAAGAGTAGTAACCTACGCGTGACTTCACTCTAAACCATGACCAGAGTAATGACCTTGAGAGAATTGATCCTGAAGATAAGCAGTTCAAAACCATGACATTGTTTGATGAATAACTCCCTCTTACCCCATGAGCTGATTGATAATACAATAGTAACTGAGTACCTGGTGCCAGTTTCGACACAAGCAACAGTGCTTTGGATGAGCTTTCAAAGATCTATGAACCTCTTCTCCAAGGTCTGTTTGTTCAGCAACACTCCACAGGGCCTTACCATTAAACCAGACTCTTAAGGTCTTCACAGTCCTTATTCATGACTTCTGTACTTGCATCCTCTTCCCGAGTGAAGACAGATGTGAGGTACTCATTTAACACTTTACCCAATGTCGTCCTGCTTCACACGCACATTGTCCCTGAATAGGCCCTACTTCTCTGGTTATCTTCTTCTTGATATGCTTGTAGACTATCTTGGGATTCTCCCTAGTCTTGCCTGCCAGTGTTTTCTCATTCCCTGTCTTTGCTCTCCTAATTGCTTTAACTCCGATAAGGCCTCTATTGATTTGATCCTTTTGGACCTGTTGTACTCCTGTCTCGTTCCTTTTATTCTGTCCTGAATATTCCTAGAAATCCATAGATCCCTGGTTTGTCACCCCAACTTTTCACCCGAAAGGCAGCCTATCGGACTTGTACTGACCCCCGGTACCGTTATGAATGCCTCCCACTGTTCTGCTGTAGATTTACCTTCAAATAGCTGTTCCCAGTCTATTTTGACCAGATCTTGTTTTATTTTAATAAAATCTGCCTTACTGCAATCCAAAACCTTTTATTTTTGCAGCACATCTTTTATCTTTTCCATAAGAAACTTAAACATAGTGTTGTGATCACAATCACTAAAATGCTCCCCCACTGTCATCATGATCACCTGTCTGGTTTCATTCCCCAGAATTGGGCCCAGCACTGTACTGCCCCTTGTAGGAGCATCTACATGTTAACATAAAAAATTATATATTTAAAGAAATTTGCCCCCTGTAAACCCTTTACACAGTGACTTTCCCAATTAATGTTAAGGCAGTTGAGAACCCCTAACATAACAATTATTACTTTTATGCACCTTAGTGCATTGTCTACATATCTGCTCATCAATTGCCTGCTGACTGTTTGTTTGGGGGCCTAGAATGCACTCCAGTAAAGTCACTGCCTCCTTTTTACTCCCAAATTCTACCCACAAAGTCTTACTTGAGCCTTCCAAGGTATCAAACCTCCTCAGTACAGTAACCAATTCCTGAACTAATAGAGTGACATCATCTTCTGTTTTGCACCCTGCCTGATGAAACTATACTTTGGAATATTAACTTTTGTCTGTCATGTCCCGTTCTTGAACACGTCGTTGTGTTGATAATGACATCACTGTTCCGTATATACAAATGCATGTCCTTCATTCATCTGCCTCAACTTAAATATCATCTGTTTCCTTCCAGGTGGTGCTGCAGTCGCGTGACTACAATGCGCTCTCCATGAGTGTAATGGCATTTGTTGCAATGATTTATCCGCTGGAATACATGTTCCCAGTGATCCCTTTGCTTCCCACCTGCATGGCCTCGGCAGAACAGGTAGAGAGGGCAGTGAAAGCAAATCAATCATTTGCATCAACTGAGGCATTGGACGTGACAGACACTATGAGCTGCCTATTTTATGCTTGACAGAGAAAGGTTACTGGGTCCTAAACAGATGGCAGCATAACTCGATAATGTTGTCCAGCATCAAATTGTAAAGGTGGTGATCAGCAATTGATCCACTTGGGAGTGATCTCTCTCACTCCTCCAGTCTATAGATAAGTGTAGCACATAAGGAATATATACTGAAAAGATGGGGCTGCAGATTAATTACAGGGCCTTCGTGAGCCAGGTTATATCCCGATGGGGGTGTGGTGGTTTCTATCCGTGTGTATTATCATAGAATCCCAGAATCCCTACCGTGTGGAAGCAGGCGATTCAGACCATCAAGTCCACACTGTGCTGTGAGGAGCATCCCAACCAAACGCAACCTCCCCCCACCCTATTCCTGTAACCCCGCATTTCCCATGGCTAATCTACCTAAACCTACACATCCCTGGCCACTGTAGACAATTTAGCATGGCCAGTCCACCTAACCTGCACATCTTTGGACTATGGGAAGAAACTAGAGCACCCGGAGGAAACCCACACAGACAGGGAGAGAATGTGCAAACTCCACACACACAGTCACCCGAGAGTGGAATTGAATCCGGGTCCCTGGCACTGTGAGGCGGCAGTGCTAACCACTGAACCACCGTGCCGCCCCTGTATCTTGATGGGGTGCAATTTATGTCCTGTGCGTCTTGATGGGGTTGCGATTTACGTCCTGTGCATCTTGATGGGGGTGCGGTTTATATCCCGTGCGTCTTTTAAGGGGGATGAGGTTTGTATCCTTAATAATCATTGACACCAGGTATTTCTGTCCTACAGCTGTTGCTTGCTCCAACCCCTTACATTATTGGTGTTCCAGCTAGCTTCCTCCTCTACAAGACAGATTTTAAGATGCCCGATGATGTCTGGCTGGTTGACCTGGATGCCAACAAGGTAAGAGCTAGTGGAACTGATAGCGTGTGTGAACATGCATGCTCAGAACATTGTTGCAGCTCGCGTATTTTCCTCTTGTACAGTTAGAGTCATTGAGATCTGCAGCACAGGAAAAGGCCTTTTGGCCCATTGCATCCACACCAGTCAAAAACAATCACTTAGCTGTTTCAAATGCATTTTCCAGCACGTGGCCCATAGCCTTGTATGCCTTGGCTTCACAAGTCTAAATATATCTTAAATGTTGAGAGGGTTCCTCCCTCGACCTCTCTCAGAAACAGTGAGTTCCAGATTCCCACCACCCTCTGGATGAAAAAGCTTTTCCTCACATCCCATCTAAACCTTCTGCCCTTGCTGTGTAACTATGGCTCCTGGTCATTGATCCCTCCATTAGAGGCAAAAAGTTTCTTCCTGTCTCCCCTCTCTATGCACCTCATACTTTTATACATCTCCATCATGTCCCCTAATCTGTCCAATCTCTTCATTACTGAAACTCTCCAGCCCAGGAAGCATGCTGGTAAATCTCTTCTGCACCCTGTTCAGTGCACTCTCCTAAAATGTGAATTCGAGACCTGCACACAATACTCTAGCTACAGCCTAACCAATGTTTTATGCAACTCTAGCTTATACTTTCTGCTTTCTGACACTCAGGCCATTGTGGATTTAATTTGCCAAATTTCCTTGGATCCCATGTGCTCTTGGCTTTGCTACCAATCTCCCATGTGGGACCTTATCAAAAGCCTGGCTGACATTGAAGTAGACAACACTAAAAGCATTGTCTTGGTGTACCAACCTGGTTATAAGGACAATGACGGAGGTATGAAGAAAGGATTGTCTAAAGTGGGCTGAGGCAATAGACTGAGAGTCCAGTCTGTAGATGAGCAGTGACAGACATTTAAATGAATAATTTATAACACTCAGCAAAAATTTATTCAAGTCAAAAAGAAGGATTTGCCGACAAGGAGAAACTACCCGTGGTTAACAAAGGTGGTAAAGGAGAGTTTCCAATCAAAAACTAAGGCAAACAAAGTGGCAAAAACTAATAGTAGGCCAGAAGGTTGGAAATTCTTTTAGGAGCCAGCAGCAGATGACTCAAAAGTTAATGAAAAGGGATAAAATTGTTTATGAAAATAAGTTTGCAATATATATAAAAACTAGCAGCAAGAGTTTCTACAGGATATTTAAAAAAAGAGCTGAAATGAGTATGGGATTCATGGAGGACGGGACTGGGGAATTGATGAGAAAGCAGGGGAATGGCAGATAATTTAAACCAATATTTTGCACTGGTCTCCACAGTGGAAGAAACTATAATCATCTCAAATATATCAGGTAAGCAGGTGATAATTGGAGGCAACAGACCAGGAGCCAGGCCGAAGCAAGCACCAGGAGCGAGGTCTGTCTGTCATGGGAGAGAGGGAGAGTGAGAAACCATCAAGAGAGCTGGGACCCACTGGAATGGCTGTAGCGGTGTTGGCAGTGAATCCTGGCTCGTTGGCCCGACTCCTGGAATAGTGGTGAGGTATCAGCTGCAGCAAAGGCAGAGCGGGGTCTCTGGCTGGGATAGGCACAGAGCGTGGACTCTTTCAGCAGCGGTGGGTGAGCAACTATGGCTGTGTCGGTGCCTGGAGCAGGGGCTCCTGGCTGCGGTAGGCTCAGAGCGTAGACATTGCTGAACTCCTGTAGCTGTGTTTGGGACCCCGAAGATGTATTTTAAGTACTACTTTTTATTCTTTTGTACCTCAATGGCACTGGATTGTGGCGACAGAACACTTTTCACTGCATCTCCACAAATGTGTGTGTCAGGAAATCATTCATTCATAACTCTCTGAGTTCTGTTCTGAGGGAGGCTCACTGGACCTAAAGTGTGGCTCTGCTTCCTTTCCATGGGTGCTGCCAAACCTGCTGTTTCTGTTTTTGTTTCTGTCGGCAGACAAGTTCATAGAATAGAGTAGAATCCTCACAGTGTGATAACAGGCCGTTCGGCCCAACAAGTCCACACTGACTCTGAAGAGCATCCCACCCAGACTCACCCCCTACCCTATCTCTGTCACCCGACATTTCCCATGGCTGACACACCGAAATTACACATCCCTGGACACTAAGGGCAATTTAGCATGGACAATCCACCTAACCTGCAACTTTGGACTGTGGGAGGAAACTGGAGGAAACCCACGCACACACAGGGAGAATGTGCAAACTCCACACAGACAGTCGCCCGACGGTGGAATTGAACCTGGGTCCCTGACGCTGTGAGGCAACAGTGTCAACCACTGAGCTGCCATGCTGCCCCAGGCAAGTTGCCAGGACTTGAGGACCTACGTCTAAAAGTTTTAAAGGAAGCAGTTGCAGAGACAGGTGAAGGCATCAATCAAAATATTTTGGGATTCACTGGATTCTAAGAAGGTTCCATCACATTGGAAATCTGTCAGTGTGATGCCCCAGTTTAAGGAAGGAGAGAGACAGATGTAGGAAATGATAGACATGTTAGACTAACCTCTGTTCCTGGAAAAATAGTTTAATCCATTATTAAGGAAGAAATAGGACATTTAGAAAGCTTTATGCATTCAAACAGTCAACATCCTTTTATGAAAAGGAAAACATGTTTGACAAGTTTGCTAGAGTTTTTTGAATATATAACAAGCAGAGTTGATAAAGAGGAAATAGTAGGTGTGGTGTTTTTGGATTTCCAGAAGGCAGTCAATAAAGTGCCAAGTGAACGTTGATTGCAGAAGTTAGGAGCTGATGGTATTGGGGGTAATAGCACAGACTGAGGATTAGTTAACACATAGAAGCCAGAGTGGGATCAATGAGTCTTTTTCAGGTTGGGATGACTAAAGTCATGGAGTGCCACTCCTAGGGTCTCAATTATTTACCATCTGTATTAACAACTTCATTGCTCCATCACCAAGGCAGCATTACTGCTGTTGCTGTGTCCCAGAGGGTGCTGTGCTCAGTACAGTTAAAGTAAGCAACTTCAGTTATTTATACAAAGTAACACAGCAAACTGTCAAAAGTAGGAATAGTGATCCAAGAAATATGCAGCTGATCAGTCAACATCTGTAAAAAGGAAGGAGCATATGACATTTAAGATCTACATATCGCAAAATAAAGTGCTGGGGAAGAACAGATCAGACACCTTCTGTGGAGTGAGCGATAGAGTTAAGGGTTTGACACGTTTGCCTTCATTGGTCAGTGCATTAAGTATGAGAGTTGGGATACCATTTGCAGCTGTACTTTGGTGAGGCTGCTTTTAGAATACTGTGTGTAATTCTAGTCAACCTTGTATAGGAAGGATGTTGAAAGTACAGAAAAGATTTACAAGGATGTTGCCAGGACTGGAGGCTTTGAGTTAGAGGAGAGGCTGAATAGGATGAGGTTTTCTTCCCTGGAGTATTGGAGACTGAGGGGTGACATTATGCAGGTTTAGAAAATCATGAGGGGCAGAGATGAGGTGAATGGTCAAGGTCTTTTTCCAGGGTAGGGGAGTCCAAAACTGGAGGGCATAAGTTTAAGGTGAGAGGGAAAATATTTATGAAGGACCTGAGCGGTAACTTTTTCTCACAGAGGGTGGTGTGTGTATGGAATGAACTGCCAGAAGAAGTAGTGGAGGCTGGTACAATTACAACATGTAAAAGGCATCTGGATGGATATTTGAAAAGGAAGGGTTTAGAGGGATATGGGCCAAATGCTGGCAAATGGGGCTAAGTCAGATTGGGATGTCTGGTCGGCACGGATGAGTTGGACCAAAGGATCTTGTTTTGTCTTGTTTCCTTGTGCTATATGACTCTTAAGTTGGTAAGACACGACCTCCCCTTAAAAAAAAACCATACTAACTGTCCTTGATGAATCTCTGCCTCTCCAAATGCTGATAAATTCTGTCCCTCAATTGCTTCCAATAATTTCCCCATCACTGAGGTTAGACTGACTGGCCTGTACTTTCCTGGTTTATCCATTGCTCCATTTTTAAATACTCGTACCTCATTGGCTGTCCTCTGGCATCTCTCTTGTGGCCAGAGAAGAATTGCAAGTGCCCCTGCTGTTTCCTTCCTTTCCTCACTAAACAAATTGGGAAATACTTAACCTGTCCCTGGAGATTTTGTATACTTTTTAAGACTGCCAGATCACTCAGAACAACTTCTTTGTGTATGCTAATTTTTTAATTGTATCACAGACCTTGTCCTTGATTTCTATACCCATATAATCCCTTCTCGTGTGAGCACTGACCCAAAGTATAAATTAAAAACCTTATGGATATCTTCTATCTCCATTTGCAAATTACCACTGCGATCATTAATGAGCCCTACTTGTTCTGTTGTTATCCTTTTGCCTTTATTGCACCTGCAAAACTACTTGAATTTTTATTTATTTTACTTGCCAATATTCTTTCATATACCCTTTTCACTCTCCTAATCTCTCTCAAGTTCCCTCTTGTGCATTCTATAGTCCTCTAGGATTTCTCCTGTTCTGAGCCTTTGGTATCTACCATAAATTGCCATTTTTCCCAAAATCCAATGCTGTATATCCCTTGATATCTATGGTCTACAGGATTTGCTGGTCCTACCCATTTTCGTTATTGGAACATGTTGGCCCTGTACTCTCCATATTTCCTTCTTGAATGCATGTCGCTGTTCTGAGACAGATTTACCTGGAAGTCTCTGGCCAAATCATATCTGATCTTATTAAAATCAGCCTTCCCCCAGTTGCGAACTTTGAATTCAGGCCCATCTCTTTCCTCTTCTAAAATATTTCTTGTAGGGCCTCCTACATACTAGCTTTAAAAAAAACTGCCCTGGATGCCCTTTAGGAATTCCATTCCATCCAAACCTTTTACACTGACTATTCCTGTTAATGTTGCGGAAGTTGTATCACGATCTACACTTCCCTGAAATTAGACTACATATTTGCTCATCTGTTTCTCTCGGACAGTTAAGGGGCCTACAGTACATGTCCAGCAATGTGGTTGCTCCTTGCTGGTTTTAATTTCTTTAAGTTGTGTGATTACAGATTGCTCCCACTATTGCTGTTCAGTTCACAGTTTATTCCTCTGTGTCTTGCCCCAAACAAAGCCACAGTTGGCTGAGAAGCCACGTTTAACTCAGCAATTCACATGTATCCAAATCACAATTTCACCACGTTCCAAAGACTTTACATACCTGGCAGTACACTTCTATGGTTCGGCAGCAGGTTTGACAGTCAGCACTGCATTATTATGGATTTTCTGATGGGTTCTGCTTTGTCAGAGGGTGATATAGGGGGACAATGAGTGGGAGAAAATGGGTTGGGCTGTCATGGCAGGGCCTGGAATGTGGGGGTAGGTAAAGGACATGGAAGGTGGCATTCAGACCCTAAAATTATTGAACTGGACATGGAGTTCTACAGGTTGCAGGGTCCCCAAGCGGAAAATGAAATGCTGTTCTTCTACCTTGAGATGCGCTTCACTGGAGCATTGCAGCATCCCTGAGATAAGGGTGGTACTGCTGTTGTCTGGTGTACTGATCTCTATATTGTAGAAGTTGAGGATCAGCTCTCCGATACCACCTCTTATCTACCCCTGGACTGTGACTGTACCATTGCCATTGTGTCCATGCCGGTCATTAATTTTGTTGATAAATCCTGTCCGTCAGAATTCGTTCCAATAATTTCCCTACTTTTGACATCAGACTCACTGGTCTGCAATTACCTGGTCTATGCCTGCTGTCCTTTTTAAACTAAGAAACCTCATTAGCTATCTTCCAGGCATCTGGACTTGACCTTTGGCCAGCCAGGTATTAAATATCTTCACCAGGACCTCAGCAATCTCCTCCCTTGCCTCTCATAACAGCTGGCATACATTTCATCAGGCCCTGGGGATTCATGCATCTGTATGCCCACTAAAATACCTAATACCACCTCCTTATTTCATTTTAACATGTTCCAGAGCCTCACCATCCCAACACAAATCTCCAGCCACACTGTGTTTCTCCTTTGTGAATATAGGCGAGAAGTATTCATTTTAGACATAACACTTCTCCTCTGGCTTTATGCACAGTTTACCCCTTTGGTCTCTAATAGGTCTCATTCTTGTCCTGGTAATACTCTCCCTCTTAATAAGCTTGCAAAAATACCTTGGGGTTTTCTTTACTCCTATTTACCAAAGATATTTCGTGACCCTTCTTTGCCCTCCTAAGTTTATTTCTGTTTGCTTAGGCTCTATCTCCACCTATCTGCACTACACTCACCCCCACTGCCACGCCAACCAATCCCTGTTATTAGCATAGGTACCACATTTCCCTAACTGCCATCATTTCTGATGAAATCATTGGTCTTGAAGTGTTAACTTTTAACTTTTGTCACCACAGATGCCACCAGACCTACTGAGTTTCTCAGTTAATTTCTGTTTTTATTTCAGATCTTCAGCCCTGGCAGATCTTTGTTTTATTGAAATGTTGGATAGATTGGGTTAACGTTTATTGAAATGCAGCAGACATTTCATCAAAACAAAGACAAAAATTGCTGGAAAAACTAAGCAGATCAGGCAGTATCTACGGAGAGAAATCAGAGTTCACGTTTTGGGTTGAGTGACCCTTCTTTCGGTTGTTATTTAGAGATTTAATTGAGTTGTATGAAATTATGAGGAGTTTAAGTAAAGCACATGAACCACTCCTAAGAGTTGCAAAAACCAGACGGCACAAATTTAAAACAACTTTTTTAAAAATTCATTCATGGGATGAGGGCGTCGCTGGCTAGGCAGCATTTATTGCTTATCCCTAATTGCCCAGTGGGCAGTTAAGAGTCAACCACATTGCTGTGGGCGTGGAGTCACATGTAAGCCAGACTAGGTAAGGTTGGCAGTTTCCTTCCCTTAAAGGACATTAGTGAACCAAATGGGCTTTTCCAACAGTCGACAATGGATTCACAGTCATCATTTGACTCTTAATTCTAGATGTTTTATTCAATTGAAATTCCACCATCTGCTGTGCTGAGATTTGAACCTGGGTCCCCAGAACATTATCTGGGTCTCTGGATTAACAGTCTAGTGATAATACTACTAGGCCATCACCTCCCCTTTTAGCAAACAATTAGCAAAGGCGGCATCCAATGCTGCCTGGAATGCCACGATTGAACCTGCCTCCACCACACTCCCAGGCAGGGCATTCCATGTAATTAATACATGGAATGTCCTGCCTGGCAGTGTGGTGGAGGCAGGCTCAATTGTGTCATTCCAGGCAGCAATGGATGGTTATTTAAATCAGAGCCATGTGTAGGGTTATTGGGGATGGCTCACTCAGAGCTGAGGCAGACAGGATGGGCTGAATTCTGTAATAGATCTCTGGTCAGTTTATTACATTGCAGGAGAAGTAACTATGTATGAAGATCTGACCAATTCTTCTCCACGTGACAACCTTCACATTGTGACTTTTATCCTCTGAGCTGTTTGTGTCTCTTTGGCAGGTGATTGCACCTACGAACGCAGAGGTCTTGCCCGCAATGCCTGAACCAGCAGCTACCGAGCTGAAGAAGCACTTGAAGCAGGTAGGAAGAGAGTGGCAACAACTGCATAGGAGCATCCAGAAGCCTCCTGCCCCAAGGGCACTGGAAAGCATAATCTGCCAAGCTGCGACAGCTTATCCTCCCAATTCATTCCTTCGTCCACAGCCGGTGGAGGCCATTCTGTCTCTGGCTAATGACTCCCGATGTCCCCCATTGTGCTGGTGCCACAACCCTCCGCCACTTTCCCTCGGGGGCACTGCACCCCCAGACAGGCTTTGGGGCTGAAGTGATGGAGGCATGTCTCCTGGGGCTGGCATTGTGGGTCAGGCAAACATCCCTGTTACCCTGTTTGTTCCCATGGGGTGTGTTCAGGGGATGGCAGGGAAAGATGTTCTGGAGGGTCAGTCGATAGGGGTTTATCATTTTCATGTGGTGGGGGGAGGGGACCTTGGAGGATTTGAGAGAGAGGGTTCACACCTCTCCCCTTTCTGAGCCTTGGTTTTCTGTTTGGGTTTGGACAGGGAGACGGTGGATTTAGGGTGTGAGGTCCATAGTCTGGCAGAGGAGCAGAAACAAGGGTCAATGTCCCCTGCATCCTTGCCCTATGCTCTCAGTTACTGCCCGGTGGCAGAGACATTCTGCAGTGGCTAAAAGCTGTACCTTATGCTCTGAGCTGGAAGAGGTTTTGAAAGGACAGCCAATAGCGTGGTCTTCAGCATGAAAAATAAGGCAGTGTTACTGCTAAACTGTTCACTCATTTGGGCAAACTGTGGTGAAATGGGTGCATGAGAGTCCCCAACGGCCCCAGAGAGCTCAGCATGCGGTCAGTGCATCTCTCGGCACTGGAATACAATGGAGAATCACTCACTGCTGAGTCTTTTCTACCCCCGACCCTTCCACAGCACTGCGATACAGTGGAGAATTAGCCACTGTGGAGTCTGCTGCAATAGTCTTTGTAATTGTTGATACTTTTGCATTGTTGGATTATTTGATTAATAAATCCCTGTAGCTGCAGGATGCCTCAGCGAAGTGACCTTTCCCTTTAACATTGTGCTAGGCTATCTCCTATTCTCACTCATTGAATTCCAGGCTGTCAGAGTTCTCAGAGACCCCTGGTCCACCCTATCTCTTTGACAGTGTGTTTGAAAGGACCTGTAACTTGCTGTGAGCTGCTGGGCTGTCAGGGGACCGGTGGCTCAGTTAATCCATAGCTCTTGACTGTTTTTGTGAGCTTTTCCTATTTATCTTTTTTTATTTCTAATGCACTGTGCTGTCTGCAGTATCTGAAGGTAAACTAGTTACTGACCTGGAGCAGAGCATGAAATAAGTGGATCCTGTTGGTATTGATGGGGAGAGTTAAACGCTCGAGTACAATATTGATAGAGCCATCTTTAGATGCTCTTTGGAGTTCGTTCCTGAAGGTACTTCCTGTTTCCAAGATGTGGAGGTGCCGATGTTGGAATGGGGTGGACAAGGTCAGATATCACATGACACCAGGTTATAGTCCAACAGGTTTATTTGAAAACACAAGCTTTCGAAGCATCACTCTTTCAGGTGTTAGTGAGAGAGGTAGTATCAGACACAGAATTTATAAGTGAAAGATCAAAGGGTCACACCACTGATGATGATGTATTAAACAAACTTAAGATGCTGTTAAATCTTTAATCGGTTAGTATGTTTTAATTGGTTAATATGTATATGTAAATACTTGAATTCCTTTCAAGTCACTAACTTGAGAGAACTAAAGGTTTTATCAGTGTAAAGAAGAGGTGACATTTTAGGTCAGGCAATGTGTGTTAGGTATGAGACCTTGTTCAGAATCTGTGTTTTAGTCTGGAGTCAGACTGGTTTTATTTCTAAAGTAGGAATTTATAAAACACCACGTTGACTGACTGCCTATAAGTTGTGTGCTTTTTGAACAAAATAAAATGTATCTGCAAATACAAATTCACCCCATAGATTCACACGTGTGTCTGTCTGTGTGTGTCTGTCTGTGTGTGTCTGTCTGTGTCTGTCTGTCTGTGTGTGTCTGTCTGTCTGTGTGTGTCTGTCT